AAACCTGCATTACCAGATCCCTCCAAAAATCTAAGGAAGATTCTTTTCATAAGATCAAAATAAAAATTCTCAGAAGAATCCATAGAACATTATTTCGTTTTTATTTAACACGTAGATTTAAAACTCTAATCCTAACAAACATGAAGAGAACAGGCACTTGGTATCCTATGATCCAAAATTCACCGCACCCTACCCTACCCTACCCTACCTTACCCCTACCCCTACCCCTAACCCTACCCTACCCTACCCTACCCACACACACACACACACACACACACAAACACGCACACACACACACACACACGCGCGCACACACACAGATTTCAAGAACCAACAAAAGGTTGTGAGTAGTGTTAGATGAATATGATTAGCACTGTGAGCTCGTGTCATCAGAGGTTGCTGAGAACACTTCCCTAAAGACACTTCTGGAAATATACTACTGGTCAAAACAGAACTAGGCCCAGAGAGCTAAAACATTCTGTGCAGGGGGACTGAAGGAAATATCTGGACTAAGCAGCCACGGACCACCTGTCCAATCTTTCAAATGGTAAATTCCAAACTAAAAGTATCTTAAGTACTTTCTCAGCATAAGAAATCAGAAAGATGGTACCAGACACAGTAGCAGGAAGAGCGCTGACCTGGATAGAGCATATGTGGATTTAGGGACCAACCTTGTGACTTGTGACAGGTCATCACTCTTTCAGATCACTTCAAGTATTTAAATCTCAAAGGTTAAAGCAAATCACCTAGCCTCCATAATACTCCACAGATAAAAATAAGCATCCGCTTGGTTCATTCATGATTTAAAATGCATCATGGAAAAAATAGTTATTCTCCTCTCCTAGGCATGTCATTAATAGTAAATATGTACATAACCATAGATAATGTAATGTGTCTGATATAAATGGCCCAGACTTGCCTGAACCAAGTAGCACCTTATTATCAAACAAGTAAAGGATGTGTAATTAGAATACGCATTCTCTTTCAAAGTTTCACATCATAAAATGCCATTCATTCGTCCTGCGCTTCCTGAAATGTTTAAATATAAAATCATTATTAAATTAAGGATAGAGGGGCCAGGGAGATGGCTCAGTAGAGTAAATGCTTGCCTGGCAAGCTCAAGGGCCTGAGTTCAATCCCCAGTTCTGGAAAAAAAAAAAAAAAAAAATTAAGGATAGGGGTTTTGGGCAAGTTTCAAAAATGATTTTTCTATAAGTAAGTTACTTATTTTTTCCTGCTGCCAATTTCATGCCACCTTCCAAAAATAAACTGGCACTTTATATCCCCAATTCCTGCCCCTACAAATGACCCAGCATCAGTCTACATTAATTATATTGATAGTTTTAAGGGCTCTTAAACTAATACAACGGAGAGGACTTGCCACACCCTCAGCAGTTTCAGGGGCAGAGGGCACAAAAGGGGAGGGGAGCGGAGGGCCAGCATTTTTGCATTAAGAAAAAAGTATTAAAAAGCAAACACTGATTTGGAACATGAATTGAAATATACTTTTGAATAATTCTGGAAACACAAGCCAAAAGTCTTAAAATGTAAAGACTGACAATAGAATATCATTTTGCATGATTTATCCTAAAGAACTAAAGCATAGATTTAGCTGTAAGAATATTTTCTATCATTTTGTTCATAATGACAAAAGATGGAAATGAAACAGACATCTCAGAGGATGAATCCACAGGATCTCTTATACTGAAATGGTATTCTAAAAAGTTATATGAGTTTCACCTTTATTGAAATGGAAAACTGCTTATAACATACGTGGGAAAATGACTTAAGAGTATATCAGCTACTTTCATAAGTCTGCTTACACATATAATAAAAGAGCCAGTTTTACAGGCAGACATAAATTTTCTTCTTGTCTGTCTTCTACAATTAATGTATCTTAAGAGAATTATATTAATAAATACATAGCATGTATTAACAAAAACTACATACCTATATTAATCCTAACTATAAAGACTACATGTGACATGCAACTATGACAGTAGATTATTTTAAAAAGCCTGAACACAGAAAAAAAAAAAAAGAAGCAGTTAATTCTAAAGAATACCAAACAATAAAATCAATAAATAAGTAAAAATAAGGGGCCAGTGAGATAGCTCAAGGGTCTAAAGCGCCTGCTTGGGCAAGCTTAGGCAGGTGCAGGGTACCATGGTTTGATCCCCAGCACCACATGCCACTACAGTCCCACACTCAGGGCAGGCTGAAGTGGCCACATACAAAAATAAACAATCAAACAAACAAACAGAACCAAAGAGCAAGTCTGATTCTATAAATGAACATTATTAAATTTAGTTTTGAACTTCCTACAGACATCATTGAAAGCAAAAAAATAAATAAATAAATAAAAGCTAGTATCCTCTCACACTATCTGATCAAAGAAAATAAATTAGGGCCAGGGAGATGGCTCAATGGAATTAGCGCTTCCCTGGCAAGCGCAAGGGCCTGAGTTCAATTGGCAAGTGTAAGGGCCTGAGTTCAATCCCTGGTTCTGCAAAAAAAAAAAAAGGAAAATAAATTAATTTTTCACAACAAAGAGTACCCTGAGAATCTATAAACAGAAACATGTTTTATACCCAAAGAAAGAAATTGTCTTTAGTTTTTTATATGACTATCAAAGTAGACAATATACAATGGAACTTTTACCAAACGCATCTATTGACAGTATTAATTAAAAAACTGATACTAGATGATTGTGATTCAATTTTTAGGAGCTATTACTTATAAGAATGAAATTCTACAAGCCTATAGGGATGACAAATTAGACTAGACTCTGTCTTCCTGTATGTATACATACAAACCATCTGTAATGGCACAGCACTTGAGGACCACTGCTAAATAACTTTCACATGCCAACATGTGAAATCATACTCTGAAATCATTTCAGTTGTTTTCTAAAAGGCAAACTGTATTCACCCCAAAGTCTGACTAAAGTATGAAGTTCATTTCAAAAAACAGAACTCAAAACTCCATAAGACCATCTGGAAAGTAACTGGAAAAAGCTTAAAATCATTTAGCTGATATATCCAACTATATTATCATAAAATTTTTAAAAATATCCTAATCAACATCTTGAAATAAATGTCACAGGAAAAACCATCATCCTACCAAATATACGTTATTTGAAAAAAAAAAAAAAAAAAAAAAAAAACAACAACAACAACAAAAAAACCTTTAACCTAACTTTTCTTTTGTTATAAAAAAAAAAAAAAAGATGACTATAAACACTCAACCTACAAAGGGTCTCTATACAAGGTCAATAAATTAAGGGCTTCCATGTCATCTCAATAAATCTCTCCCAAAAAAAGGTGTAAATGTATTGGATAAATCAAATGTAAATCCAATCAAAAAGCTTAATTTTTTAAGTAAATAAAATTGCCATTAAGGCCCTTTACATAGTTCCTTTCCAGAAAGAAATAAAGTTGAATTCTTTTAAATTTTTGCTAAGCATGAGCCACTGTTTCAAAATAACGTACACATTTTAATGAACCTAAACAATCTGTCTAAAAACAATAAGCCAATATATTCAAGAAAAACAGAAAACTCAAACTAAAGAATAGATTCTACAAAGAAAAAATTTGTTCTAGTTCAATTTTTTAGAAACAGTTTAGTCATCAAAACATGAACATGTTCAGTTCCAAAATTATCTTTAAAAGCTCAAACCAAGTGAGCCTTTAAATTTGACCAATGGTAAAAGGAATGAAGAGCAGAAGTTTCACAATGAGACAGGATCCCACCTGCTTAACAAACTCTGAGATTCTGTTCATGAGAGTTAATAAAAACAGAATATTAAGTTTGACCCAGATTTCTTTCTACAAGGATTTTTTTTAAAAATTAGCTTAATTTCACTCAGCTCATTTAGGCTGACATTTGAAAGTAAATGAAAATAATACTATGAATGAAGCAAGTTGACGATTACCTTTTTATTTCTAAGCTCTTTCCATTTAAAGGAAGAACAATTGTTCTCTACTCAAAGGAATTCTATCTCCCCCTTCCTCTGTACCATTAATTATAATTTTTTTTAAATCCGTTAATGTCTAAAGACTTCCTTCAAAATATTATCACAGGATAGAGAAAATAAACTGCCAAAATGCCTACTCTCTCTTCTCATTCAAAACTGTGCCACAAGGAGCACCTTCTATTTATGTCTGAAGACTTGCTTCTTCCTACCTTTTACTCCACTCTCACATCTGCTCCTACACAAACACATCCTCAATTACTGCCAGCTACTTTTGTTTACTTTTACTATTTCATGGTGGTAGGGATCAAAGTCAGGGCCTTGTACATGCTAAGGACGCACTCTACCACTAAGCTCCACCCCACTTTTAATCAGAAGTGACAATGACTCCCCCTTACCACCGATGGGATATTGAGTCCTTACTTCCAAATCAACTTCCTTGCCATTCTAGAAACTTGGTATTTGCTCCCACCTGACTTTCCACTGCAGTCTTGCACCTTGCCATTAGCCCCTAGAAAAGCAAATGGCACTGCCAGCTCTCCAAGCCTGAAGCTAATCATTCTCTTTTCTTCACACTCTCTATCACCCCATCAACAAGAACTACTTCTGAAACAAAGTGCAAATCCACCCCTTTCTTGCCTGTTGAATATTTAATGCTTCTTTAAAAATGAAAAGGGGAAAACTGATTATAGATACACAGATAGCATGCAAATGCATGGAAAGACTAAATGAGGGTGAGTGCTTGGAAGCACCCCAGAGGCAAGTGTAGAAAGGAATTCAGAGACAGTAAAAGAAGCCCCAAGAGAAGAGAGGCAATTTGGAAGCAACTGCACCCCAGTCTCAGCAACTTTCACCTCCCTTTGAGTGAGCTCCACGTTTTCTATGAGGAAAAAGCAATATGGGAGAAAAAGCTTTGGGCACACTTTGTAGTATAATCTTCAAGTGGTGAGTGTAAAGAAAAAGGGAATACGAATTTTAAACCCGAGAGAGGGAAGGACGTGTGACCAGTAATTAAGCAACTACGTACTGTACAAAGATCTTTATATTGTAGTTTCTGGAATTTTGTATCTGTGTTTTCTGCACATAGTTCCACATAACCAAGGACAACTTGAAACACAGTATTATGAATGGCTTGGGTGAAGTGCATATGAAGCTGATCCATTGCAGTCTGTGGAAAGAAAAAAACAAAACAAAACAAAATATAACTTTGTATTCTTAAATAAATTTCGACAGACTGAAAAAACACATGGAAAAATCTTCATCAATTGTAACTATAGCACACAGATCACTCTTAGTCTCAGAACTGGCTGCAATGAGTGCTCTTTGCAAATAACGCTTCCTATAACCAGGGACACCGTACCACTCAAGACAAGCCTGAGTTGTATGTACTGCTGTGATGGTCTGTAATTGTACCTGGCATTCATAATGAGTTTTCAAAGGTACTATGCAAAATCACACTTCTGGGTCCCCTCTGCCATCAGTCACTTTCTCACATCATTCGGTCCATTACTCAGTGCTCACCTCAGCACTATCTTTCCTGATTATCCTACTTAACTCAGTATCATCACTCTGTCTGCTTATCCTGATTTGTACCTCTTTGTAGTACTTTTAATCACCAGACAGCATATTAATTGATTTATTTAATGTCTGCATCTCTCACAAGAAGATAATGCAGATGGTATCCTATATGCAGGTACCTGGAGCAATGCGTCTGGTAGTTACTAACAAATATTTAATGAATAAAAACAATCCTATGGAAGAAATTAGAGGCTGGAGGTCTTTAAATATGGCATTCAAAATTGCCAAGTATATTTTTCTTTCTTGCATTTTGCCCCAGGTATAGCTTAAGACAGTACCTAGAATAAATTAGTAAGTTGCAACAATTCAGATGTTAAAATATAAGTAGAATTTAAGTGGTCTGGCAAAGCCTTAAATTTCCTTATGAGAGAAGAGACCATTTAAAGGAAGAAAACATTCATATCCATCATGTTTAAACACTGTACGGCTAAACCCAAAGAATATATACTGAGCTTTCAAGTCATGGCTGTTGTTCCAATTTTCTCAAGGAAGACTTTGAACAGTAAAAATGTGCAAAACCATGCATCACAAGGGAAGCTATGACATGAGAATAATAGAATCTTCTGGAAAATCTTGTAAATGGAATGGACCTGTTTTATAGCTAACCACACACACTCTACAAAAGTTTATACACTATATAGAGGGACTCACACTAGCCTATCTGGGAACCAATGAAGTCGGATACTGTAGTGAAAGGCCATTTTTTAAGTCCAAAAGCTGTGCTTCAAGAGATTACATCTCCCCCTGAATTACCTTATAATGTACTTTTCCTAAATCCTATACAAAAATATTAAACCTGGCAAGCAGTTCACAGTTCAAAACAAACATAACTTTTTACTCTACTACATACACCCTGGGACTATACAAACAACATTACTATTGTTAATTCAGCATAAAAATGTACGTTTTCAAATGAGACCTTTTAAGGAACTACAATAATAACACTCAGATTTAAGCATGAAAGTCAATAGATACCTGATTTAGGCGGGGAAAAAAAAAAAAAACAAAGAACATCTTTTTAAAACTAACCTGTGTTTTTCCAAGAAGACGATAAGCTTGTTGAACCTTGGTATAATGACTGATATCAAAATTTTTGCAGATTTTGGAAAGGGCTACATCCAGTTGTTCCTACATAATTAAAACAGGAAAACTAAAGCGATTAAGGAACTAGGTTTTGAAGACTAGAGGAAAGTATTAAAACCAGTCTCTCACTTTTAATTAATATCACAACATACCATCAAAACGGACTTAGCAGACAAACAATAAAATTATAAGTAGATAACTTTACTACGTTAGCAATTGCAATCAAGTTTACTAAGAGGTTATTCATGTGAGTTCTATGCTTTCAAATCCATGCTTAGCATTTTAAGGAAAACAAAGAGTGATAGTTTCTCAAGGGATTCTATTTTTTTCTTAACTTCGTGTTTCCTCAAGCATCTACCAGCCTCTTACAATTATAAGTGAATTTGCAGAACTACTGAAATACAACAAAGCAATCTTTCTATAATTACTAAAAAGAAATTCCCCAAAAATACTGATATTGACAGTACATATATGAAGCTTTAAGCCTTTATATTTAAATGCACTACCTTGTTTATGGTAGTTCTATTTCAGTGGCTTCATTTTTAAATAATGATTTTCTATATAGGTATAGAATAATATTTCTTATGACATTTACACAATATCTGAACTCAAAAAGCCTTCTGAGAAGTAAACAGTCAGGGAAGTGTTTACTTAATTCAAGGCAGTTGTTTTAGTGATTATCAAATAAATTAGTATTTTCACAACTAGCAAATGATTGCATTTGTGATCAAAGACTACTTTCACAAAAGTCCAACTTTTGCATTTATCAAAAGGCAATAAAGTAAAGTATTACAGGATTAATTCTTATTAAGCTTATTAAAATGAATATCCTGCTTTGCAAAGATTCCCAAGACAAAACAAGAATTTTGAATATACATAGGAGGAAAAATAAGCCTTTATGTTTACACCTTTTTCTTTCCACTTTCTACATTTTTGATGAATCATATGAGATATTATGAGAAGGTTCATGCCTTTAGGAAAGTTTTTCATCAGCCAATAGTTACACGTAACTAACTCACTAAGTTAAAAGGGACAAGCAGGAGATAAATTATAATTAATAGTATTTTGGCTATAATATTATTTACATGAGCAAATACCTACATAGCATGGAGATTTTTCTAGAAATGATATTTCAAAGTACTGTTTTGAGGTCCCATAATTCCAAAAGTACTGAATTTACAAGTAGATCAATATTACCATGACCAATAATGAATACTGCACACAAAAAAAACCCAAGAGTTTAAATGTACTGATTTAGAAAAAGCTGGTAACAACACAAAGGTAAACTGGCATGCTGCACCTGTGCTATTCAAACGCGTCTGAACACGGCCACTTCACACAACAAAACCATTCTTACCTCAATTTGTTCTAAAGTATCTTGCAGCTTTGAATTCAGCTCACTATGGAATAAAACAGAGTTCCATGAATCTATTTTTTTTTTAAAAATTAAGTACTAAATAAATTCAGTGCATTAGCTGAATAAATAACAAATACAAAGAGTATGAGCAGTAAGATGCTAATTCTACACAAGGTACAATAAGGCAAGAGTAAGAGCAGAAAAACAATTAGAAACATGAGTCACTAATGATAGCCACTGGATTGTATGAGTAGAAAATCCTATAAATATCTACAAATAGAATTAAAACCATGAGAGTTAAAATGTGATTTAATTTTATTTTATTTTTTAATACTTTCATTTATCTATTTATTTTTGGGGCCCATTTAGCCCACGCTGGGCAGGGCTGGTGCGGCATATGGTGCCACAGAGTGAACCATGCTTGCCTAAACTTGCCTGAGCAGGTGCTTTAAACTGCAGAGCTATCCTGCCAGCCCTTGTGATCCAATTTTAAGAATAAAAACTATGTTGACAGAAAAGTAAAATTTTAAAGATAAAATTAATTTCTAAACAGGAACAAAATTTGAAAATGAAGTATTTTTATAATACCATTCTTAAAAACCCAATACTTGGGAATCAAGTCCAACAAAAACCACAAAATACAATAGCAAACTAAAATAAGATTTAACTTCATGGAAATTTATACCATCTTAATAGACTAAAACTTTCAACACATTCTCACCAAAATGACCTAAAATAACAAAAATTCTAACCAAAATCCCAACAAGTTTATTTTATTAGTAGAACAAAATAATAATCAGCTTCTAAAAACTGTGGCAAATCAAAGGGCTCAGAATAGACTAAAAAAATGGCTACAGAATGTTAAACAGTATACACTAAAATAGGCACAGGCCTATCACAAATTTACAGCAGAAAGGCAGTACAATGCCGACTCAAGGATACACAAGATGATCAGAAGAACAAAATGAAAACAAAGGACAAATAGCTTGAATGGAAATTTGATAAAGTAGTCATCCAACAGTCCAACAGATATCTGAGTTGATTAGTCATTGAAGGAAACCAAATTAAAATTACAAAACAAAAAACCACAAAACACTGTAGCAATAAAGTGGCCAAAAGAAATATATTTTAAATCAAAACTGGCATTATCAAATGTTAGCAGTAGTGTAACAGTGTGAAATAAATGAAGCAGAGGAAGAAGTTATTACGACTCTAGAAAACTTTTATCTACTGAAACTTAACACACAAATCTTTTATCTGTATCAGGGGTTGAACTCAGGATGTTGTGCTCGCCCAGCAGGCGCTGTGTCGCTGAGCAGTATCACTGGCTGACACACAACTTTTTTAGTACATCAAGTCATGAAACACGTCTAACAAAATGCAGTGTAACATTACGGGCAAAAGCTTAAAATCAATATTTAAATTATTATATTTCATTACTAAAAATAATTTGTGCTATGTAACAAAATAAGCATAATCATAGTATTTTAACATAATGGATGTACTTAAATTACTTTTAAAATAGTAAGAAGTAAAAGATGTAGTTTAACACAACAAAACTGTACCATTTTTAAACAACTGTAACCTATTAATTATAAATTCAGCTGTCACACTCTCAGTAGCTACAGCAAACGGGGAAAGCCACAATACCCGATTCAGTCTCCATAATATAAGTATCAGGAGCTCAAAACAAGGTGGTAGGGAGGGGACAAGACAGAGAAACAAAAATCATTTTCCAGTTACTGGGTTCTGAGAGAAAATTTCACAGCTCTTGAGACACAGGACCTCGTATCTCCAAAGGCTCAAAAGCTTAACACTCTTCGCCACGTACACGCAGGCCTCCTTGCACTTGGGACTCACAGAAGCCTGCGCTGCAAGCCAAAGGAGACCGTGCACCGCAGGGAGACAAATGCACAGGTGTACAAACAGAGTGACGGGTCAGAAGGCAAAGCCACAAGAGGCGACTAGCTAGCTTTCAACGCTCTCACAGACACATCTCCAAACCATTCCAGGAATATGGCCATTTTCTACAAATACTACTTTGTAAAATACAAATATTTTTTCAACTGAAATTGAGGAGAACTGGCGATGATATTCTGAAGTAAAAACTGAGAATGTGCAAAACATTCCTATTGATAATCAACAGTATTGGTTAGATACCTTATTAGAAAAATTAAGACCTCTAACAAGGACTTCTACCTGACAATAAACTGTATTCACAGTTGTAGGCTAAGAAAATACTTGCAGGGGCCAGGGAGATGGCTCAGTATAATAAGTGCTTGCCTGGCAAGTACAGAACTGAGTTCAATCCCCGGTACTGAAAAAAAAAAAAAAAACCCTTGCAGACAGGATTGAGATTCACTTAGAAAACGATTTCAGGTATTTCTTGTCCAAAAACAATGAATTTGAATGAATGAATGAATGAATGAATGAATGAATGACATCTAATGGCTCCAGAACACCTATAAAAGGATAACTAAAAACAGTACCCTTGTAAAGAAGAAAGAAGTAAATACATTTTCACCTTACCCTATTCCGCCCCTTAAACCAACGCAAAACAAGGATAAAGGGCTAAAGCAAATGTGATTATATGCACAATGGAGTACGTACTACATGGTAATTAAAAAGGATTTAAAGCCTATCATTTTGACAACATAGATTAACCTAAAGGACATCACCTTAGATGAAATAAGCCAGCCACAAAAAAAGGACAAATACCACATACCCTCCTCACACATAGAAGTTAAGATAATCACACAGAAGTCAGAAGTAGAACAGTGATTACCAGAATAGAATAATGGTTACCCCAAAATAAAAATTAAAACCTTTAAAAAAATCAGTATCTTCTCTTCCCTACAGCAGTTTCTTCTCTTCTGTTTTCTGCCCTGATAGAAAACATTAACATCCACTCTAACCAGTGGAAAATCCTATCCTCCTAATTCTTTCCTCTTTCGACATATAACTGATAATCAAATCTTTATAATTCCATGCTGCTTCAGTACTTGCCTTATCCTCCTACGCTTACACCTTCTCAGCTGTGACTGAACTCAAGTATTATCACCTTTACCTTGAATTGCTGCAACTGCCTTCTAAAGAAGCTCCACATGCAACGTACACCCCCCCCCACATCCATCCATTCACCTGACAAACACCATTGACCAAGCTCTGTATGACACTTTCCAAAAAAGCATCAGGATTAGCTCTGAGGAGGGGCTTAACTGCACATTCAATATGGTCTGCATTTGGAAGACAATTTTCAAATAGCTTGGTGGCAATGGTCGTAGGCAAGACTCTTCTGAGCCCTATCACTTTCTGCTATTTCGTATTGGGCAGCTTCATAATTATGGTACTTCCCTGATTCCTAAGGACAACTGAGTCTTCAGTTCTTAACTAAAGCAGAATTAAAATTACATTATGGGGGGCCGGGGAGATGGCTCAGTGGAATAAGTGCTTCCCTAGCAAGCGCAAGGGCCTGAGTTCAATCCTTGGTTCTGCCAAATAAATAAATAAATAAAT